TACCAGACCCCTGTCATTTTGACTGGTTGACGCCATTTTAATTGACAATTTCTACTTCATGTAACATTTTGACTAGTGTGGTAGAAATACTGAAAATGGTGGTATGTCTAATGTGTTAAGTATGACGTATCTTTCAATACTGGCAAGAGTAGTTTAATAATTGGAAAATTGAAGTAAATTTTGAAATGACGTTTTAACGACCATGCATCCTTTCGAAAATACCATCCCAATGGCATTTCCATTTATGGTTATTATTATTATTAATGATTCTTGGATATTTATATCATACGTTATACGTCACGATAATTATAGGAATACATACATATATATATATATATATTTTGTTTCATTGCGTGCGTACCATAGTAGTATCCTTTGGTCGAGAAGGATGCATTTATTTGCAGTGGGCCATAAGCGATGGAAAGGAAGGAAGGAGGAGTAGGGGAAGGGGTTGGTGGGGGTGGGGAATGTTAGGCAGGTCGACAGCACGAGCCTTCTGAGACCGGTTTCGAGGACCTTCGAATGGTTTTGCCGTTGAAATAAAATAAGAAGAGTAAAAGAAGAAAAAAAAGTCCAAGAAAATGAGATAAAAAAAAAAAACAGAAAAAAAATAAAGAACAAAATCTGAAAGACAAAACCCCCATTTTGTGTCCTTGCGGAAGATCTAAGTATCCAGTTTGAGAAACTGTCTAATATGTCGCTTTAATTTATTCTATTTCTTTTTCCTTCTTCTTCTTTCTTTCTTTTCTATTTTTCTTTGTGTTGAAACTTTTTAATGTAAACGAGCATAATAGAATTGTTTTTTTTTATTTTTTTTTTTGTAAAATATACTTTGCAAACTTTTAAGGGATTAATATAATATACCACATAAATATTAACCAGTTAACTGTGGCGATCTCATTTGACAGTACGTACCGATTTGTTTTGTCAGAATCGAGTCATGACAAGTATACTCGTCGATAGAAAAATCCTACTCACTTCTCTCCATGACGAGTATACTCGTTGATAGAAAAATCCTACCAACTTTTCTCCGTGACGAGTATACTCGTCGTTAGAAAAATCCTACCTACTTCTCTCCGTGACGAGTATATTCGTCGATAGAAAAATCGTGCAATAAATATTTTTAAAAAAATATTAATTATATTATTAATATATATAGATATTAATAATTTAATAAATTAGTAATATAATATAAATATTAATAAAAAATAAAAATTAAATTCTCAAATTGGAACTACGAAACGTTTCTTGCTTGGTTCCTTGTTCTTATTTTACCAGTTTATAGTATAATATGCATATGTATATGTATATGTATATATATATATGTGTGTTAGTCTTTCTTTGTTCGCTGAAGTAAAAAACGGATGAAGAAAGAAAAAAATATGGGGGAGAAGTAAACTTCTCATAAGAATGACTAATACTTGGAAGATCGTATGAGCCACAGAGGGAAAGCGAAAATGTGAATCACGTCGTAGGTAGTCAGGAAAGCAGCAGGTGTGTGTGACGATATTGCTGTTAAAAACCCGTCGAAATAACACGCGAAAGAGAATCTTTTTCTTCTTCTTATTTATATATATCAAACGATATTATATATATATTATTCATTTTTCTTATATTATAATGATTCTGAAAAATATATGACATATTATATTGAAAAAATCAAACAAACATTTTCCAATAAGTTTGTAATATTTCACAATGAATGTTTTATAAAAAGAAAAAAAAAAACTATGGTTTTATAAACATTAATAAATAAACTCGTCTTATCTTTTAAAAGAAAAGAAGAAGACAAAAAATGGATCGTACTGCAGACGTGTGTTACACTTTGACACTTTGAAAAGTTGAAAGAAAAAAAAATAAATATAATCTGCATATTCAAAGTTCGATCTCTGTAAAGAGATTCTTGTCGTCATGTGTGTGTCTGTCTGTCTCTCTCTCTCTCTCTCTCTCTCTCTCTCTCTCTCTTTTGAGCATTTGTTCAGTTTAAATAAGATAGTACTATTTTAAATTGTTTTCTTTCTCTGCATAAATGCATGCGCATAAATCAATAAAAACGTGTCACGACCTCGCTAATTATTATTTATTTGCTCGAAGACGAACGCGGAAATCGACATTGTTGTTTATGATCTAACGTAAGATGGTTAAATATTTCAATTTTATATTTTTTTATTATCTCTTACAATTTATATTTATTTCTTTTTTATTTTATTTTTATTAAAGTATATTATTATTATTATTATAATTATTAATAATAATTGATTGCAATATCAAACGAAACTTTTAACGTTTACTCTATAGTACGTGAGATTATTGGAGTGGTGATGGGTTTTAGGGATGGTTTTGGGGATGGATTGATTTTGGTTTTTCTGTAAAAGATTTTTTTAATCATCCGAAAATTTCAAGTTGCACGTTTCTAAGATTCTCGTTGAGTTTGATTCGAAGCTGTATATATATGTGAGTTTTATATATATATATATATATATTTACATTTGCATTCCGCAACTATTTGAAAGAATTCTTTTGACTTGAAAGGAACAGAAGAAAAAAAAACGTAAAGTGAAAAGCAAGAATGAAAAAGAAAAGCAAAAAGAAAGAGAGTACAATCGAGATAGACAAAATCGATCTCTCAGTCATTTCTTGAAAGCCCCGTTTTCCATCAGTGTTTCCCAACCAATCTTCTAAAATTTAAATATTTTCAAAGATATACACACACAATTTTGTAGAAATATTGAACAAGTAAAAAATCAGATTATTGACAGAATAATAGAGTTGTCCATAAAGTTCAAAAAGTTCAGCCGATTTCCAGTAGATGGCATACAAGCATTTGTGCTGGAAAAAAAAACCTGAAAAAATCTAAAAAAAAACCTGAAAAGTTTTGGTAGAACGAAATTTTTGATAGTTACTCATAAAGATGGAGAATGTTTGTGTAATATAATGACATTTATTTATTATTTAATAAATATATAAACCAAAACAATTACTTTAAATGCGTTGAGTTTCAATATTCTCTCAAAATCATCAGCATATGAATTTTCTGGACAGCCCAATTTAAGGTGGAATAATGGTGGAGGATGATTGAAGAAAAACGTTCAACGTAATTTGTTCGTTTATATAATATTTCAGAAAAATATACAAAAGTATGATTGAAATACGATCATTGATTTTGACAGAAGAGAAGATAGATTTGTGTCTGAGTGGGGGGTGGGTTAGTTTTCCTAAATCTATCGAGAATCATTTTTCTTTCTCACCGTTTGCTTTATTTTCTTTGGCTCGACACGAAATGGCGTATAACGTATAAAATATTTGCCACAACATTTCTACGTATGTTTGTAGTATATATATGTATATGTATGTCTGTATGTATGCATGTATGTATGTATGTATGTATGTATATACGAGCGAAGGGATTGCGTGGGTGTTAGAATTCCTTGGACTGTAAACGGCGCTTAAATTTCTAAACGAAGTGAGAGTAAAAGAAAGAAACACAATTATGTTATCCATTATTCATTTGTTTTTTTTATTTGCACTGCACCTTTTAGAAAGAAACACATTCACAGAATAATTCTTAATTAAGAATTTATGAATTAATATAATAATTATATATTGTATTATTATTATTATTATTAATATTATTGTTATTATTATTTAATTGCAGACGTATTCCGGACTATTCTGTGTCGTGGTAAATCCTTACAAAAGATTGCCAATTTATACGGAAAAAATAATGGAAAGGTATAAGGGTATAAAAAGACACGAGGTACCACCACATGTTTTCGCCATCACCGACACGGCCTATCGTTCAATGTTACAAGGTAATTGAAATTAGATTAATTATATAAATAAAATAAAAATTAGTATAGACTTATTACACAACTATTATATTATTATAATCTAGCAATATAATAATAATAATATATAAAAATTTATTAAAAATAAAAGATAAATACTTATTATTATAGTAATAATGCTATATATGTATATATATATATATATATATATATATATATATATATATTAGTTATACTATATATTAGTATTATTATTATAACCTAATACTAGGTAATATTAAATGTAAATTTGATTTATATTAAATATAACCTAGAGTACAATATATATATATATAAAAATAAATTAAAATAAATAAATGTAAAATAGAACACAAAATCAATTTTATTCTATTAAACAAAACTAACAACTTTTTACACACACACATGTATAACTTTAATAAAATATTGCATACATTAAATTGACATTTAAGAAATAGTTTGAATTTATATTATTGTTGTATTTCGTAGATCGTGAGGATCAGTCAATCTTGTGTACTGGCGAGTCTGGTGCAGGCAAGACCGAGAACACGAAGAAGGTCATTCAATATCTGGCATATGTTGCTGCTTCGAAACCCAAGTCCAATGCGGTAAGAACATAACGCAGGGAATGCAGGGATATTCTTTTTAACAAAATCCGTCCTCCATAGTACATGTTAGAAATATTATTTTTCTATATAGGGTAATTCAAAAATAAACAAAAATGGTTTCATTCATAAGAACCGAGATCGTATAATTGAAATTAAGATTAAAATTGTTATTTTATTCGGTTCTTTATTTATTCTTTGATCAATTTGTTTGTTTGTTTGTTTGTTTTTTGTTTATTTTATCTTGTCATCTTTTCACAAAATATTATATATCATTTATTTTAATTAGATATATTATAAGATTATAACACGTTGAGCGCGATGTCAGCCATCAATGAGTGACACTAGACTTTCCGTTTAAGCCACGTCTGTCACTGGTGACTGACACGTTCAACTGTTTTTTCAATCAAAGAATTCGCTTAGCTTTCTCAACGTGTTAATATAAATCGATCGTGAATGAATTCAAGCTGTGTGTTGAAATCGTTATCGAGATATTGCAATCGAGATAACAATCGAGATCTTTATCGAGATACCGTGTATTTAAAAAAAAAAAAAAAACATTCCAAAGATACCGATTCGATATCATCTATATAACCTTTATTTATTTTTATAACATTAGAATGAATTTTTTTAATTTCATATATATTATATGTATATATGTATGTGTTAAGTCAAATATTAAATTCGATTACGTTGTTAACAAATTCTTCAAGTTAAATGGGGAAGTCAGCATTTTTGTTGTTAATCGAGAATGATTTTGTAACCGCAACAAAACATACATTTAGCGGAACTTTAACCTCAATTTCCGAATCACGTGACATCATTTAAAAACCGCTTGTTTAAATTCGGACTAATTTGTAACGTCATATAATTTCATTTAACACGATTCTTTTTTTTAATTATTTTTATATATATATACGTGCGTACGTGTATATTTGTTAATCTTATCGAGTTAATGTTATTATAGTTGATCATACATCCGGCCATTAAAAACTTATTACATTGATCTAGAGAAACATATTGTTTATCAATGATAATCTTAACACGTATACGATTTATTTTTATCAATAATCAATATAATAATTATACGTGATGAAAATAGAAGAAAAGAAAAAAAAAACAACGTAATTAAGAAAATTATGATTATATTTTGAATTTTAACAAGTGGGTTGTTCGGAAAGTAATGTCGTTACTACGTCTGTCAAATTGTTTTTTAATATTTCAAATCAAAAAATCGATTGATGATATTACAAATTTGTATACCAGATAGAAAAAGATTGTTGATAACGTTATTAATTAATTTAGTTAATTAATTTAATTATTAATTGATAATAAATAATAAACTTGTTTGAAAACAATTGTTTCAATTTTGAGGTTAAAAAGTGTCATTACTTTCTGATCAACCACCTAATATATTATAAAACATATATATATAAATAAGTAATTTGTTTAAATATAAATGAGTTTAGTCAAATTTATATAACAAAATTATATTTATTGACAAATTAGTAGAAACATTGTCAATCAAACTTCATATAATAATTTGCCAACATTTTTTAATTAACGGATATACTAATCTTGAATTTTATCAAAACAAGTGATAATGAACTTACTACACCATTGTTAAAATAAACTGTTCATTTATTCATATCCTTTTTGTTATTTTGGACATATTTCTTTGACCATTCACTTTTATTTAAACGTTATATTACTGATGATGAAGTGACTTTAAAAATAGCGACTTTCTTTATGCGTTTCTCGATTGCATACAGACAGTAAGCTCTTTGTTATATATCCATGTTCACAAATGCGTCGTCTGAAAATGTTAAAGCTCCTACTGTGACGTTGTATAAACGTCATGGTCATCTTCGATAAATAAAGAATCTTATTCGTTTATCGAACGTACTAAAATATATCTTAGATGAAATTATTATGAGAACTATTTAGAAAGATCATAATTTTGTAATATCTATTTTAATAATAAATATGAATTTGTTATTTCATAATAATAATCGCCGCGCGTCAAAAAAGAGAGAAAGAACGCAACACACAGAAACGTGTTGAAAACTCATCTTGAAGGACCTTTCCTTTTTTAGATAAAAACATATTTATCAATTCGAGTTACTTTGAGTCACACACATAAATAATACACGTACAAAAAAAAAGGCGTAACCTACTTAAACATTATACTGACTCATCGTAATGCATTAAAAAAAAAAAAAACACAAATGGATACTTAAACTCGTTTTCAACTGAGAAAAAAATACCATTTAGAATTGTCCTAATAAAGGATACGAATAAATGTACTGGTTAAAATGTTTTACTAGTTTTGTAATGATCTTGTTTAGTTTGTTCAATTATTTGGATGGATTAATGTTTATGGGATATCTTTGGATTATTATCTTGGAATATTTTTCATTGTTTTTTTTTTTCACAAAAGCTAAAAACATCCAACCAACAAGTTAACATTTGGTCAACAACAAGCCTTCCTTTTCTTGCAGTCTTTGACTTTACCGAAAAAAAAAAAAAACAAAAAATTGATAAATCCATTCACGTTTAGGAATAATCTCCTATCCTTTATTTAGGATTAATAAATTATTCATGTTCTTCTAAACTAGGTTGGTAATTGTATAGGAGGACAATGAAAGTTTGTTACATAAATAAATTATAAAGTAATATGCGAGGACGACTAAAATCTTGTGTATACACACACACACACACATACATACTTTTATTATATATGTGTGTATGAAATATGCGGGTAACAGCAAAGATTGGTGAACCATGAGAGCAATGCATATATACGAGACCATGGTCCAACAAGTATTTTATTTTTATTATTTTTTATTTCCACAAGGTATATCCATACCTGTCGCATGTACTTACCATGATTTCATTTTCGATCCCTTTTACGTGTTACACCATAAACTCATCTCGTGATAAAATACGATGAATAGGAGAAAAGAATATAAATATATAAATATATATATATATATAGAACGTTATTTAATATTAAACAAAATATTGTTTCATTTTCGGTGCTGACATTTTGGCTGGCTTCTTTCATCAATAGACCCCAAGTCCGGCGTTAATCATAGTAAGTCGACATAAAACAACAAATCTATAATCAATTAAACAAATTTTCATGATATTCCTATGAATAATTGCAATCTGCTGCTTCTTCTTCTTCTTCTTCTTTTGTTTTTTCTATTTCTTCTTTTAATATAATATTATTATTATTATTGTTCTTGTCTTTTACATACTAACAATATTGATTTTTGATAAATGAAATATTATTCATTTTGTCGTCTAACAAGAAAACAAATCTTTTTCTTAACTTTTTCTTGCTGCTTATGGATCCAGGGAACTGGGAATGTGTCGGACAAGTTTGCGGTAATTAATGTGAGAAGGAGAAAACAAATAATAATATAATAATAATATTGATGTCGTTTTGTTGTACAATTGCTGTTTGTTGTCCTCACGTCCTAATTATGCATTTTGTGTTGTTATTAATATTTTTCATTTTCCCCAATTCGCAATATCAATCGTCAAATTTATATATCATATTGAGTTGTCCAATAAATTTTCAAAACAACTTAATATTTTATATTAAATCATAGCTTAATTAGTTTAATTAACAATAAGCTAGCTTATATGTGTATTTGTATAACTTATTTGGAAATATTTATACAGAAACTCAACTCTGTTTTATTTTCTTGTCTCATCAATAGAAAATTGAACGTTCAATGCTATTATTAAGTTGTCCCAATAAGGTTTTCTGCCAACAGTGTTCAAAACAATTATTAACCAACTTAATATTTTATATTAAATCATAGCTTAGTTAGTTTAATTAACAATAAGCTAGCTTATATGTGTATTTGTATAACTTATTTGGGAATATTTATACAGAAACTCAACTCTGTTTTATTTTCTTGTTTCATCAATAGAAAATTAAACGTGCAATATGCTTTATTGGAAGCTTATAATAATTTATGCTCAGCTGTTATTAAAAAATATAACAACAATAAGTAATTACTTATAATAATGAATTTTATCAAAAATTGACCATATACTTATGCTTATAATATTTCAAGTTAACCAAAATGATTAATTTCTGTTTTTTATTTGAATACTAATTCCCCTCTCATACTCACAGTCACAATTTTCTATTTTATTATAGGGAGAACTCGAACAACAACTTCTTCAAGCAAATCCAATTTTAGAAGCGTTTGGAAACGCAAAGACTGTGAAGAATGACAACTCGTCTCGTTTCGTAAGCACCTAAAAAAAAGCAACCTTTTTCTCTCTGTTCTGATAACATTAACAACATTTTCATTCTTTTTTAGGGGAAATTTATTAGGATAAATTTCGATGCATCTGGTTATATAGCTGGGGCAAACATTGAGACGTATCTTTTAGAAAAATCAAGAGCCATAAGACAAGCAAAGGATGAAAGAACATTTCACATATTTTATCAATTGCTCGCTGGTGCTTCACCCGAACAAAAAAGTATATATATATATATGTCCACAAATGTATATGTGTGTGTGTGTTGTGTGTCATTAACAATTTTGTACATTTGATTGAATTTTATGATTACAGAGGAATTTATATTGGAAGACCCCAAGCATTATCCATTTTTATCCAATGGTATATTACCAGTACCTGGAGTTGATGATTCCACTGAATTTTTCTCAACGGTGAAATCAATGCACATTATGGGCATGACTAATGAGGATTTTTCATCCATCTTCCGCATTGTATCTGCTGTTATGCTATTTGGTTCAATGCAATTCAGGCAAGAACGTAATTCCGATCAGGCTACATTACCTGACAATACGGTAGCGCAAAAGATTTCACATTTGTTAGGTCTGAGTGTTACGGAAATGACAAAAGCTTTCTTAAAGCCTCGAATCAAAGTTGGTAGAGATTTTGTAACTAAAGCACAGACAAAGGAACAGGTAGAATTTGCCGTTGAAGCAATATCAAAAGCATGCTACGAACGAATGTTTCGTTGGTTAGTTAACAGGATCAATAGATCTTTGGATAGAACGAAAAGACAAGGTGCCAGTTTTATTGGTATATTGGATATGGCTGGTTTTGAAATATTCGAATTAAATTCATTCGAACAGCTGTGCATTAATTACACGAACGAAAAGTTACAACAATTGTTTAATCATACAATGTTCATTCTTGAACAAGAGGAGTATCAACGAGAAGGTATCGAATGGAAATTCATCGATTTTGGACTTGATCTTCAACCTACGATCGATTTGATCGATAAACCAATGGGAATTATGGCTTTGTTGGATGAAGAATGTTGGTTCCCCAAAGCAACTGATAAAACATTCGTCGAGAAGTTGGTTGGTGCGCACAGCGTGCATCCCAAATTTATGAAAACAGATTTTCGCGGTGTCGCTGATTTTGCTATAATACATTATGCCGGTAAAGTTGATTATTCGGCTGCAAAATGGCTAATGAAAAACATGGATCCGTTGAACGAGAACGTGGTTAGCCTTTTACAGGCATCACAGGATCCATTCGTTTGTCATATTTGGAAAGATGCTGAAATTGTAGGAATGGCGCAACAAGCACTAACTGATACCCAATTTGGTGCAAGGACTAGAAAAGGCATGTTTAGAACTGTATCTCAACTGTATAAAGAGCAATTGGCTAAATTAATGTTAACCTTGAAGAATACCAATCCAAACTTCGTCAGGTGTATTATTCCAAATCATGAGAAAAGAGCTGGCAAAATCGATGCACCTTTGGTGTTGGATCAATTACGATGTAATGGTGTGTTAGAAGGAATACGTATATGTAGACAAGGTTTTCCAAATAGAATTCCATTCCAGGAGTTTAGACAACGTTACGAATTACTCACACCAAACGTTATTCCAAAAGGTTTTATGGATGGGAAGAAGGCTTGCGAGAAAATGGTATGTATCGTAAATCTTATTGGTAAATCTTTCCTTTATCCAAATATGATGTTCGTTCATTAATCTTCTTATCGTTAATTAATTTCTCTTGATTTACAGATTCAAGCATTAGAATTGGATCCTAACCTATATCGTGTTGGTCAGTCAAAAATTTTCTTCCGTGCCGGTGTTTTGGCTCATTTGGAAGAAGAAAGAGATTACAAGATAACCGATTTGATCGTCAACTTCCAAGCATTCTGTCGTGGTTTCTTAGCACGTCGCAATTATCAAAAACGTTTGCAACAATTGAACGCCATTCGTATTATACAAAGGAATTGTGCTGCTTACTTGAAGCTTCGTAATTGGCAATGGTGGAGACTTTACACGAAAGTAAAACCATTGTTAGAGGTAACGAAACAAGAAGAAAAACTTACTCAAAAGGAAGACGAATTGAAACAAGTTCGTGATAAACTTGAATTACAATTACACTCGGCGCAAGAATATGAACGAAAGTATCAACAAGCAATTGAAGAGAAAACTATGTTGGCAGAACAATTGCAAGCTGAGGTTGAACTTTGTGCCGAGGCGGAAGAAATGCGTGCGAGATTGGCTGCACGTAAACAAGAATTGGAAGAAATATTGCATGATTTGGAGGCACGTATCGAAGAGGAGGAAGAAAGGAGTGCTGCCCTGACACAAGAGAAAAAGAAATTACAATTGAACATAAGCGACTTGGAAGAACAATTGGAAGAGGAGGAAGCTGCTAGGCAAAAACTTCAATTGGAAAAGGTACAGTGCGATGCTAAACTTAAAAAACTTGAAGAAGATCTTGCACTTTCGGATGATACTAATCAAAAGCTATTGAAAGAGAAAAAAATTCTTGAGGAACGTGCCAATGATTTATCACAAACATTGGCTGAAGAGGAAGAGAAAGCTAAACATTTGTCAAAGTTGAAAGCAAAACACGAAGCGACCATTGCTGATCTTGAGGAAAGGTTGCTCAAGGATCATCAACAACGACAAGAAGTTGATAGATCAAAGAGAAAAGTCGAAACTGAAGTATCGGATTTGAAGGAACAACTTTCCGAAAGAAAAACTCAAGTCGAAGAATTGCAATTGCAATTGGGAAAACGTGAAGAGGAATTGAATCAAGTTATGGCAAAGATGGACGAGGAAGGTGCGGCCAAAGCACAGGCTCAAAAAGCCTTGAGAGAATTGGAATCGCAATTGGCTGAATTGCAGGAAGATTTGGAAGCTGAAAAGGCGGCGCGTAGTAAAGCGGAAAAATTGAAACGAGACTTGAACGAGGAATTGGAAGCTTTGAAAAATGAATTGTTGGATTCGTTGGATACTACAGCGGCTCAGCAAGAATTGAGAAGTAAACGAGAACAAGAATTGGCTACTTTGAAGAAAAATCTTGAAGAAGAAACTTCGGTACACGAGGCTACGTTATCTGACATGCGTCACAAACACACGCAAGAATTAACTGCTTTGAACGAACAGATGGATGCCTTGAAAAAGACTAAAGCTGCTTTAGAAAAAGCAAAGGGTTCGCTTGAAGCTGAAAATGCAGATTTAGCAACCGAATTGAGATCAATTAGTGCAAGCAGACAAGAATCTGATCGTCGTCGTAAACAAGCGGAACAACAGTTAGCCGACGTTAGTGCCAAATTAGGTGAAGTTGAAAGAAACAAACAAGAATTGGCAGAAAAGGTAACGAAACTTCAACAGGAGGCTGAAAGCGTGATGCAACAATTAGAAGCTGCGGAATTGAAAGCATCGGCTGCGTTGAAAGCATCGGCAACGTGCGAGTCGCAATTTACAGAACTTCAGCAACAATTGGAGGAAGAGACCAGACAAAAATTGGCGTTAAGCTCGAAACTTCGTGCGGTTGAAAGTGAGAAGGAAAGTTTACACGAACAATTGGAAGAAGAAGAGGAAGCTAAACGTGGTTTGGAAAAGCAAGTTTTAAATTTGAACGCTCAGTTGGTCGAAGTTAAGAAACGTGCCGAGGAAGAGGCAGAAGCAGCGGCAGCTTTGGAAGAAAGTAGAAAACGTTGCACGAAAGATATCGAAGCTCTTCAAAGACAAGTAGAAGAATTGCAAGCGGCTAACGACAAATTAGATAAATCAAAGAAGAAGATACAAGCGGAATTGGAAGACAGTATCATAGAATTGGAAGTGCAACGTGCCAAAGTATTGGAATTGGAAAAGAAACAGAAGAATTTCGACAAGGTGCTTGCGGAAGAGAAAGCTGTATCAGAACAATATGCGGAACAGAGAGACAACGCGGAAAGAGAAGCCCGAGAAAAGGAAACCAGGGTCCTTTCGTTAACGCGCGAATTGGACGAACTCAACGAGAAGGTTGAAGAATTGGAAAGAGGTCGTCGTGGACTTCAATCGGAATTAGACGAATTGGTGAACAATCAAGGTACCGCTGATAAAAACGTACACGAATTGGAAAAAGCCAAACGCGCATTGGAATCCCAATTAGCTGAACAAAAATCTCAAGTTGAAGAACTGGAAGACGAGTTGCAATTCACGGAAGATGCCAAATTAAGATTGGAAGTGAACATGCAAGCATTGCGTGCACAATTCGAGAGAGATCTTCTAGCGAAGGAAGAACAAGCGGAAGAGAAACGTCGAGGATTGGTCAAACAATTGCGCGATCTTGAAGCTGAGTTGGAGGATGAAAGGAAACAACGAGCAGCTGCGATAGCTCAACGTAAAAAAATGGAGAGCGATTATAAGGACATGGAACAACAATTAGAGATTCATAATAAAGTAAAAGAAGATGCGTTGAAACAATTGAAAAAATTGCAAGCACAAATAAAGGATTATACCAGAGAAATAGAAGAATTCAGAGCTGCTAGAGACGAATTGGCGGCCGGTGCGAAAGAATCCGAAAGAAAAGTTAAGAGTCTTGAAGCTGATTTGATGCAGTTGACGGAAGATTTCGCTAACAGCGAACGTGCCAGACGAGCGGCCGAAAATGAGAGAGACGAACTTCAAGAGGAAGTTAATAATAACGCCAATAAAGGAACATTGATGTTAGACGAGAAACGTAGACTCGAAGCAAGAATTGCTACTTTGGAAGAGGAATTGGAAGAGGAACAATCCATTTCAGAGGTAGCAGTGGATCGTGCGAGAAAGGGACAGATCACGATAGAACAATTGTCCACCGATTTAGCTACCGAACGATCTACGACGCAGAAACTCGAATCTCACAGAATGTTATTGGAAAGACAAAACAAGGAATTGAAGGCTAAACTTGCCGAATTGGAAACTGCTCAACGTGCTAAGACAAAAGCTACGATACAACAATTGGAATCTAAGATCAATAACTTAGACGAACAATTGGAAACCGAAGCTAAGGAAAGGTTTGCTCAACAAAAGATCAATCGTAAATTGGAAAAGAAATTGAAAGAAATGAGTTTACAATTGGAGGATGAGAGGAGAAACGCTGATCAATATAAGGAACAGGTGGAAAAAGTAAATGCTAGAATGAAGACACTTAAGAGACAATTAGACGAAGCGGAAGAGGAAATCAGTAGACATAAGGCTATGAAACGAAAAGCTCAAAGAGAGATGGATGATATGCTGGAATCTCAAGAGGAACTTACGCGTGAAGTAGCAAATCTGAAGAACAAATTGAGGTAAATATCTAAATAGACACACACAATTGGAGTATAACGAGATTTCTATAAGCGCGCGCATAAAACGCAACTCTCTCTTTTCGTAAATTTGTTTTAAAGGCGTGGTGGACCTACCATAACTTTGAGTTCGAGGCTAAAACGTGGATCTGTACAAACTGGAGGCTCCGGTGATGATTCGACTACGCAAGACGAAAGTATCGATGGCGAAGAAAATACTAATTGATGAAGTACTGCAAATCTTTTCAAATGTGCAAGAAACGAGGAAAACAACAACAACAACAGCAACAACAACAACAACAACAACAACAATCATCCAACGTCGTTTAACAGAACGACAACGATAGCGGAATTTCTCGATCTTATGTAAACAACTTTGACTTTATGTAAAGTCAATTGAATTTAGTACATTCGATCCTTAACATTCGCTTTCAGTGATAAGAAATTTTACACAATGGGGGGAGGGGGTAGGGGGATGGGGGATGGGGATGGGGGGAGGATAGAGATAACGCATCAAAAATCCTGTTTCTTAAGAGTGCTATTAAGAGATATATTAAATGGTGGATCTGTGTATATTGATCCTGCGAATTGGACGATTAGTTTATATAGGAAGTAATTATCTCTCTCTTTGTTTGTAATTCTATTCTACTTGTTTTCTTCCTTCATTTTTTTTTGTTTTCTAGAGTTTTATATGCTTCCCATAAAATGCCATGAGAAGATAGATTGTCAAATGTAAGAAGAAAAAGAAGAAGAAGAAGAAGAAGAAAAAGAAGAGTAAGAAGAGTCTTATTTTTTTTTTTCTTTTTTTAAGGATATGTATATAATTTTACAACTTATTAATTAATAACTTGACCGTCGAGCGGTATAAATGCAAACATGATTTTAAATTTATATGATGCATGTTTAGAAGAAGTTAAGTTTCTTTTTTTTTTTTCTTTTTTTTTTTTTTTTTGAGAGAGAAAAATAGAAAAGTCAATAACAGAGCGAATTACTACTGCATAATTTATAACAACTTAACGAAACTATTAGATAGCACTAAGATATTAGTCTTTATTATTATTATTATTATTATTATTATTAATATTATTATTATGACTATTATTATTATATTATGACTATTATTATTATTATTATTATTATTATTAATATTACATTATATTTTTGTTGCTACAAAAAGCATTCTCTCTCATAAACATACATTTACACAAATACACCACATACACATTTTTAATTATATTATTATTATTATTACACTACTATTATAAGTATTATTAATTATTATAATATTTTATTATTATTACAAATAGTATGAAAATAATGAAACTAATACTATGCGGATCATATAAATAAAATACGCGGCGACAAATTAAGGAGAGAGGGTATAGTTTGTGTATTCCAGAGTTTCATTTTAAAAGGTTTCATACATTCATTTGAAAGTTTTTCAATTGCATTTTCGTCTTTCGTACACTGCTACTTGCATTTTTACTCTCTACTTTAATAAACGATTACAAATTTAGATAAAGTGTAACCATTCATTAACATTATTTTGCATTAAAATATGCGAGAGTGTTGTTGTTGCAATTTAAGATTTGATTCATCAAGTTTAATTCTAAACACACAATTACATTTTTTGAATGGAAGAAGAAACCATTGTGACTTTCTTTTTTTTTTCTTTTTTGTACTTAAGACATCATTTTAATTGATAATATTCTCAATGAATTTATTCAAAACTTTGTTGTGTTGTCATCAACCTTTTGAAATGAACTGGATTTTAGGGAAGCAAAATATAAAAGAAAAAAAGGAAAATAACTTTTGAAAGACTACATTTTCTTCGTTCTGACTTGAAGTATATAAATGGGAGATTGAAAAAATTGTATAATAAGGGCGCAAATTTGATAAATTGCGTTCAAAGAAAAAAAAAACAAAACAGGTGATCATACCCAACTACAAGTACATAAAAATACATACACACCACACACACATACATATATATATATACCATCCATCGTGTGAAGATGTTTTATACGCGCATTTTTTTTTTTTTTTTTTACATAAACCACAAACACATTTTATGAAATAATCCTTTGTACCAAAAGGCATTTATAGTAAACAACATAATTGTGCCAGGGTTAGAATATATATTTTGATGCGACATGGAAAATATACTAATTAATAATAATAATAGGCCTTTAATATATATATATTATATAATATATATATATATATATATATAAACATGTTGGCTGCCGTGGGGGGTCATCTGTGACCGGCACTCGACTTGGCTAAAGCGCCGTGGGGGGTCACCGGTGATCGACGACGCATAATGACAAATTCATGTTGACGCTTTTTGAGCAAGTCACGTTAAAATTCACTCGACAGCCAACGTGTTAAATGAAATAAGGTGTTAACAAAAAAAAAAACAAAAACAAAAAACTATGGCTTCCTAGTAATATATTAGGCAAGATTTTTTTAAAGGCATGATTCTAAAAAATAAAGATGAAGAAGAAGAAGATAAGAAAGAAAGAAAAAAGAAACATGAATAAAAACAACGGAACTGCCATTGTACCGTGCTGTTGATTTTCAGAGACAGCATATCATGTTGATTACTGACAATTTGATTAAAATGATATGCAATCTCTTAAATACGAGAACAATTTTTCCACTTGTGACCATTGTGAATTGTGTATATATATAATTGCTTTGAAAATATGTTCATTTCTCGTTAGATTTTTTATATATATATATATGTATCATGTCCTGCTTGCCATTATATTATTATTATTATTATTATGCATTAACAATAAATTAAAAAAGAAAAAAGAAAATGAAATTTTGTCAAACAATTTTATGCAATTAAAGGACATGATGAATATTAAAATTCTGTGTAACTGTGACGAGAAGTGATCATTCATTGTGAAAGTATTTGATAATCGGAATAAGCCGTCATATACAATGAAACTTAGGAAAGAAAGAAACAAACAAAAATGAAGAAGAGAAGTTTGAAATAATTTGGATGAATGGAAGTAAGGAAGGAAGGAAGGAAGGAAGGAAGAAGAAGAAGAGTTTTGATATGTTTTATATGGAATAAAATATAAACGTTGATTGCATCATAAGTATATATAAGAGAAAAAGAAAAAAAGGTATAATAAATGCTGAAAAATAGTAGATCAAATTTAAAGCACTTAATCTTGGAGTCGTCTGTTTTTTTTTTTTGTTTTTCATTTGTATAATATTTGTATTTTTATTTATTCTTTTTCTTTTTTTTTTCCATTTCTTTTTTCACATTCAATAACATTAAAGCAGAGCCACTGTCCAATTGGCAGAGCTTGCTGCAAAGTAAATTCAATTGTTTTTTTTTTTTTTAAATACAAATTCTAAATGGACATCATCTTTTCTACCAAACTAAATTTAATAATTAAAATGACATTTTCTTAGGTGACATCAATTGACTTTTTTTTATTTGTTTTTTTTTTTTTTGATTATGTTGGCTTTTTGAAATCTTTTCAAAAAAAAAAAAAAAGAAATATGAACAGTGTTGCATTAAAGCTGAGAAATAATTAAGAGAGATGACAAAAAAATCTTAAGAAGTCGTTGGATTTTCCTTGAATTCTTTGAGCATTCGAACTAATCCAGGAGCAGCCAAATCTAATGGTGTTTTGCGTTCCTTATTGGTCAAATATAAATCAGCACCATATGAAACCAACAATTGTGCTACTTCACGACGATCCTCTTCGCAAGCTAAATGCAACGCACTATTTCCATAAATATCTTGTTGATCTGAAATAAATTCAATGATTAATTACCTTAAAATATATAATACAAATAGTAGATGTGTTATTAAAATGATTTTCAAACAAAAAAGAAAATAATATGAGAGACAGACCTATCTTCAAATCTTTTCCATGTTCTAATAAAAGTTTAACTATCGCAATATTTCCTTTTGAAGCAGCTCTGTGTAAAGGAGTAGCTCCTCTCTTGTCAGCAATATTAATGTCAGCATATTTTTCAAGCAACGCAACGCATATCGACTTCCAATTTTTCGATGCTGCATATTGCAATGACGAGTGTCCATCTTCAGTCTTTGCATTGACATTTGCACCTTCGGTAATCAAAGTTTTAACAACTTTTTCTCGTCCAGCTGAGGCTGCCAAAATTAATGGTGTCATGTTCGTCTAGAAATGATTTTTATTTGATCATTTATTATATTAATTTTTAAACGTTAAACATATGACATTGTTCAAATTACCCGCTCACTTTTTTACTTAACATCAAATGAGATATCACCACCACCACCACCACCACCACCATTGTCTGTCAGTAATTGTCTCTTATTACTACAATAACAAATACAAATAAATCTAAACTCACATCATCTGTTGGGTCAACTGGTGAACCAAGGGATAATAAATGTCTCACTAAATCGTCATGTCCACCTAAAGCAGCCCAATGTATTAACATTCGTCCATTCTAAAATTCAAATAATTGATCTTTCATTACCTAACCTCAATTTTTTTAATGACAATATAACAAATTTGAATACTCACGGTGTCAGTTTGCGTTTTTAAAGATTCAGTTAGATTAAGTAAGATTTTAACATCTGACGTTTTACCATGATAAGCTAAATCATATATTGATCCTTGTTGAGCCATTATAAATAAATTGAATAATATTTCAAATCACTGTTAGGAGATTTAAATTTCAATAATGTTATGTTTATCCTGCAATATTTAATTGATGCACTGATTCAAATGAATACTTTGATTATTTTATATACAATATTGATTTATTTAATAATCGTTTATTTATAAAATTGTTAAACGTTTTATATTTATAAATCTTACACTTTGATTATAGATATTATTATAATAAACTATTTCATCGACAGTGTTTCCAAAGAATACAGAATTATATAGAACATCAGAAGTCCACTTTTCTTGTAAAGAATTCATCTTAGTAAGCACCGGGATCACCTGTGGGCGACAGTTGGTAGAATACTACATTCTTTGATAATTTGTACCATTCTTTGATAAGATTGTATCGTTTTTGTATAAAGTACCTACTATCGCCCACTGGTGGTCTCTGTGTTAACTAAAATGAATTTCTTACAAGAAACGTGAAAGAAGAAATGAACTCTGTCGATAATTTATTTACGATATGTCGGTATGTTATCGACAGGGTAACGTGTTGGTAAATTATCGACAAGATAACTTGTTGGCAGGTTTATGACAGGGAAATTTGTCGGTATTGTATAAGTGTTCTATTTTTTAAAAGGAGAAAATATAATTATAGAATATTCTGTAATTATTTTTAAAACTAATTTTATTGAATAATTTTGACAATATTGTAAAACATGTTCTATATTTTGATTATCCACTGAGTTGCGTAGAATTGCTCACTGTATTTGATAAAAATTCACTGAAAATAGATTTTGTCAATGAATGAGGTTAGATTGTTTTGAATGTATTTAATTAGAAATAAATTAAATGAAAAAAACGAAAGGTGATGAAGAAAGAAGAATAATTTTAAAATAAATAATTAAAAAGATTTATAATAATATATGTGTAAAAAGTTTATATTTTAATTAAAATGATCTATAATAAATTATTTCTCAGATATGTAGTGAGGAATAAGACTTTAGTGTTTAAATATTCCGTAATAACTAATGAAAAATTGAATGGGTGTTGTTTAATACCAATTTTGGAAAGAAATCGATTATTTCACACTAATCAAAATCTTTGTAGACAACCTCAAACTCTCGTAAAATATATGTTTGAAAATGCAAAAGAAAAAAAGAAAGAGACTTTTCTTGAAATAATAAGAACTTATGAACAGGACAAACATAGAAGAGGACAAATAGAATTTATTAAATTAGCTTTGAAATATATGAAAGCTTATGGTTTACATAGAGATCTTGAAGCTTATAAAGCAATATTAAATATCTTTCCAAAAGGACCATATATTGCAAACAATTATTATACTGCTGTCTTTAGATATTATCCAAAACATCAAGATACCGCTACAGATGTATTAGAACAAATGGAGAAGAATCGAGTAATACCTGATAGAGAAGTTGAAACTATTCTTTTAAATATATTTGGTAAACATGCTGATCCATTGAAAAAGGTATGGCGAATGTTATACTGGATGCCTAAGTTTAAAAATGTAACCCCTTGGCCAGTTCCAAAACCAATACCTACAGATCCAAAAGTACTTGCAAGACTAGCAATACAAAAGATAAGTAGTGTCGATGTAACATCTGTTATATCTGAATTTGAGACTAAAGAATTAGAAGAATATTTGGAAGATACTTGGATAATATCAGCCATTAGTCGTATTCAAAAAGATTTATTATTGGATCATGCCAAATCGAGAACAAATATTCCTATATATGTTGAAGGCCCATTCAAAATTTGGGTTGCTGATCAGTCAGTTGATTATTTTACTTTGAGAGCAGATCCAATAAAGAGAACCAAGAAATATGAAGATATTGATGGTATATCAATTAAAATGTATTTTATTAATAGTTATTTTATATTTTATTACGTTTGATACTAATGATTTCTATTTTTATGTAGACGTTAGTAACATCAAAATTCCATTTTGGAAGACTCAAGAGATTGCTGTAGAACCTACGGTGCACGATCAAGATGACGGTGTTTATTTTGCAGTATGTGCCACTGGTACATCTAGTAAAGATTCAGCAGTATCTTGGATTAGATTTTTACAGAAGGATAATCCTATTTTAGAAAAAATTCCTATACTTATAAAATTGTCATCATCGGTGGAAACGGAAATTGTTATTATGAATGCTAACATGAATTTACAAAAGAAAGTAATTAATGATAAATAAAAATATATATTTAAATTATAATATTTTATTAGAGTAATATTAAAATATTTAATAATCATCATGAATATTCAATAAGTTCATTATAACGAAAATAATTTATCATGTAACATTTAGTTTCACAAATTTATTCAAATTGCCGCTCATTGTTCGATATATCGATTTGTTATAGAGAAAGCTTTCAAAACTTACTACGATATGGCGCTTCGATCGATATCGACTTCTAAATTCATTATTTAATATTGTTTTCTAAATAATTAATTAATGGTGCTTTATATTGTTATAGAAACATATAAATGTTATTATGAATATATAAAAAAAAACTAACTTGATTTATAAAAGTGTAAATATAAGTAAGAATCTACGAAATGATTGAATCTTGTACAAAGAAACGAATGTTGTTAGGTATCATTTTATTAGGAGGGTCAGTTGTAATTCACATTTTAATAATTGTCATTTTAATTTTCTTAACATTATGTATAACATAACATATTCTATTTAATCTTATAAAATTGTTGAGATTTTTAAAAAATAATTTATACGTATCACTTTATTCACTGAAATAATATAATGTTCATTTATTTTATATAGATTAACAATAATAGTGTTGATAGTGGAAAGTCATTGGACAAATTCACCAAATAAACTTTATCTCGATAATTTTGAGAATAATACAGTTTGTTTGTCGGGTGACGATTATGAGATATTAACAGAATGTCATCCATGTGATGCCTTTGAAATTGCAAGTGAAAGTATTGCAGTGTGTATACATGCAAGATACAAAGAAGTTTTGAAGTGTAAAAGTGGAGAGACTAGAACAAGAAGGTAATTTATGATTGAATATGTATATTAAAAAATGTATTAGAATAAAGAAGAAGTTTGTTTATTTATTTATATATAAACGTTTGACATATTTCAGTTGTGATCGAGTGGCATGGCTGGAAGAAAGAGCGTTTTGGAAATTTGAAGGTTTTATGTTTGCCTTAGCATTTACTTCTTGTATTAGTGTATATTGGAGGGAAAATATACTAAGACAAAGAATTATTCGTAAAGTTGCAAGACAATTAAGAGAAAGCGTATAAGTAAGTGAACATTAATTTTGCTATATACAATTATTTTATTTTATAATAAGTTAACCTCAATTTAAAAAAAAAAACAGAAAAATGAATGAAGCATACTTAGAAATCTATTCATTGACTGATTTATGTTTAGCTCCAATAGAAACGATCATAACATTACTTACAATGAAATATTGCAATTCTAAAATAAATATAAAATTAATTAAAAGTAAACAAAAGTTAAATGAATGCGCATATTTTATAGATATATCACAATTTGTATATGAATTAATTGATGAAGATAATATACCACATGATGTAAATTCATGCGTATTACCTAGTATAGTTTTAAATAAAACAAGTTATATAGCAGGACTTTGTGCTATACTAAGACAAATAATAAAAACAACTCTTGTAGATTGTCCATTACATCATTGTAAATCTTTGTTAGGATTTAAAGAATCGTGTTTATTAGCTTGTTCAGAGAGCAGCGTTTGGACGAAATTTTGTGAAATAGATATTATTAATATGTTAAAATTTCTTCATTTAGATCATTTGAATGAAATAGAATTGCCTTATAGTCTTGCTAGATTTGAATGTCACATGTCGCAACCATTAAAGATACATAACCTGTACAAATATGTAACATCTAAGAAAAATGGTATTAAAGATGTAATCGTAAGAGATAATGTTCAATTGCCAGAACATAAATATGCAGAAGGATTTAATATTACATTATCCGATATAATTATATTTATTTGTGTTCATATATTGCTTGAGATGTATTCGAGAGATGCGATACTCAAATTATTACCATTGATAACTAAATGGTATGAACGAATGATTCAGGATCATATTATATTGGAATGTTTAAGTTGTTTATCTATTAAAGAAAAACATCTGAACGATGACATTAATTATATACTTCCTAAAGTTCCTTATGAAAGTTTGTACAAGAGTGATCCTAAAAGGTATCAACCAAAGAGTCGTGTTTATACTAAACAAAAAGATATTGAATATTCCATGCAAATTATTCGCAATGCAAACATATTAAATGAACTTGACGCAGAACCATTTGGCGCAGAAATATTTTTCGACTGGACAAATATACCTTTTGATTTAACACCAGAAGGTGGATCATTACCACTTTCACGTTTACAAAGAAAATCTGATCAATTGGAAAATTTATGTAAACCTGTCATAAAATTAGCTAAGTCGGGTGATGTAATTGTTGATTTTTGTTCTGGCAGTGGACACCTTGGAGTCTTACTTGCATATTTATTACCAAATTGTACTATAATATTATTAGAAAATAAAGAGGAATCTTTAAATAGAGCGAAGAAAAGGAGTAAACTATTGAAATTAACTAATATTAAATTTTATCAATGTAATTTGGATTATTTCAAAGGAGATTTTAATATTGGTTTATCTTTGCATGCTTGTGGTGTAGCTACTGATTTAGTTATTCAACAGTGTATTAAAAGAAATGCTATTTTTGTAAGTTGTCCATGCTGTTATGGATCATTACATAATTGTCATCATTTAACATATCCTAGAAGTGATATTTTTAAAAAATCTATTAACACCAAACAATATTTAACACTTAGTCATGCTGCTGATCAAACACACGATAAACTCAATGTTAAAACTCAACAGGGATACGATTGCATGACTATTATTGACACTGATAGAAAATTACAGGCAGAACAATTTAATTACGTTGTATATCTTGGTAAATTAATACCAGATACGTGTACACCTAAAAATCATTTATTAGTTGGAATACCTAAAGAAAAATTAACATATTAATAATATTATCAAATAATCTTTTTCTTTTCAACATCATTATTTGTAGTGACGTAATATTAATAAATAAATAAAAAAAAAAGAATAATCTGTTTATACAACGAATTTTATGATAATAATCAATTAATTGATTACTTACTTATTGTCTCAAATGAATAATAATAATAATATGTTATAATTAACACGTTGGCTGCTGTGGGGGGGCCACCGGTGACCGGCGACGTATAATGAACAATTCATGTTGGCGCTTTTTGGGCAAGTCACGTTCAAATTTGCGCAACAGTCAACGTGTTAACTTAAAAGGATGTAACGAGAATGAAAAGTTATTGAGAAAAAAAAAAAAAAGAAAGAAAGAAAGAAAATATACTTTTAGTATATCATAGATAAATATTAAAAATTGACACATTGTAAATATATGATGATGATGATGATGATGATGGCCTAAACTGTAATAATTAATTGAATTTATTAATGAGACACGTGTGCCATTACTATACTAGAAATTTATTAATAATAATTGTATGAAGAGATTTTTATTGGTATGTACAAAAAAGAAGAAAAAAAATAATAATAATAATAATTAATCATGTGTATACAAATCATTAGCATTATTTAAAACATCTTACACAATTTTTTCCTATAGTTTACACATACCTAAGAGAAACACGAAAGGAAGGTTTTTTTTTCTTTTTTTTTTTTTTTTTGTTATATTATTATTATTATTATTAGAGGAACTAGGGAATATTCATTCATGTCCACTATACTAATTCAAGCGTTGAGTATATGCTTTTGGGGATAATATTGAAATTTTTAAAGAAACTTCCACCTTTATTTTTTGTTTTGTTTGTTTTGTTTTTTCTTTTTTTCTGTATGGTTTTAACACTTTCAACATTTAATTTTGGTCTTCTTTTAATAAAATGGCTGATGGATTGAGAACAAAGTGAAAGTAGTAACCATATACACATTTTGTGTTCTTCTTCTTCTTCTTTTTTTTTTTTTTTTTAAATTATGTGTTTCATGTATTATTTACAATTTTCAGTCATACGAGGAGCACAGATATACACTGTCACAAAGTAAATTAGCCATATCTGATATTTCTTCTTCTTCTTCTTTTCTTTTTTTTTTCTTCGTTTATTTATTTTTTTTTTTTTTTTTTTTTTATATTAAACATTATACTATCTTTTATATTTTTAATTTACAAATGTTTTAAAATTTAACTTTTTTTTTCTTTTCTTTCTTTCTTTCTTTCTTTGTAAAGAGATAAAGCTTGACTTTATCAGTGACCTTGAATAGTGAAAAATTACCTT